TGACAGCCAAAAATTTCATTTTTTTATTTTTTTTTGAACAAAATCGTTGATCTGAATCTTTCAACCACTTGAAATTCATTGATATTATCATTATGAAATAACGCTCGCATTTCATCACATCATTTTAATATCTGTTAAGATGTAGCGACATGATGCGAATAAAGAAGGAAATAACAAAATAGCGGAGTGTAATGTGCTGGTTTAATGTCTGCGAAGCTGGGACGACTACTGATCAAGATAGACACTTACATGCTTCAAGGTAATTGGTCTGCTCTTTAGAGTTTTAGCGTAAATAATATCAGCGCAATACGTGGCTCTAAATTGCATAAAGCTGAGGTTAGGCTCCTTGCTTAGGCGGATGACAAGGCAGTTTTCTGTGTCACTGAGACAGGGGGGCCCGCTATCGTCCCTGCTTTTTGCTATTTTTATTGAACATTTCTGTTTAAGCGTAAATAATATCAGCGCAATACGTGGCTAGTCTAGAGATGTTTCACATGTTAGGAAAACTTGACTGTCTACTTCAAAGGCATTTGAACAGCTGTCGCATAGTGCAGTGTGGTTGACTCGCCGACCTCGTACCTCAGGTGCAGATTTATTTTTTTTAACTTTTTTCCTACTCTGAAGAAAGAACATTGTACCGAATTTGGAAGAAAATTTTTTGTGAATTGGCAGAGTTTTTTTTTTCTGAATAAAGCAGCACCAATGTTTTCATTCAATGGTGTTCCTCTATTTCACTTATAGTGTAAATGCGATAGCTGGAAGATGGCTTCACCTCATGGCCACAGTGCTTCAGTGGATGGATGGATGAAAAACTTTTATTGGGGTCCTGAAGGATTCCACCCCCGTTTTATAGGGGTAGAATCGCGGGCCGCTCCCACGTTGGGACGGAGAGGCCCAGCCTCACCGCCGCATCGTGGGCCTTCTGGACAGCCTTGAGTTGTTGTATGAGAACCGGACTCGTGAGCATTAAATGAAAGGAGTTCTCAGAAAATTCTTCATTTTTTCTTTGTAAAGAGGGGCACCTCCAGAGCATGTGGTTAAAATCACTGCGATTCTGGCAGTCTGGACAAAGTTCTGAAATATCGGAGTAATGGCTATAGGTTACGAGGCTAGGGTATGTTCCCGTCTGAAGCATGCGAAGAGAGATTGCCTGTGGCCTAGACAACTTTTCGTGTGGCAATGGAAATGACCTACGGCCTAATTGATAATGCTTCGTCATCTCGTTGAAGGTAGTTAAAATGTCCCTAAAATGAAGGCTGCTGGCTGACTCCTCTGTCTGAGAAGCACAAGTCCCGGCGCGGTAAGTGAAGCCTCGCGCCTTGGAGTGGGCTAGCTCGTTGACATTGGGAAGGCCTCCAACCCTTAAGCCAAGGTGAGCAGGGAACCAAATAATTGTGTGGTGGGTGAGTTCCTTGTGAGCGAGAATTCTCAAAACTTCCTTGCAAACGGAACCAGAAGCGAAGGCCCTAGCAGCGGATTTAGAGTCCGTATAAATATCAGTCCTTTGTGGATCAAGGAGTGCTAGTGCAATGGCCATCTGTTCTGCTTTGTAAGAAGAAGGGGTTCGAACTGACGCCGAGGATAAAATCTGACCCTTAGTATCTACGGATACTACCGCAAAGCGAGCGGAAACGCCATACTGGGCGGCATCAACAAAGCATGAAACAGACGATTGTTTGTGAGCTTGAGCTAAAAGAGAGGAGGCTCGAGCGACACGCCTGCCCGCGTTGTACTGTGGAGGCATATTTCGTGGAAGGGGGCATACTTTGATGCGAGAGCATATATAATCATCGAGTGGCGTGTTTTGCACTTCGAGCGTCAGGGGGTTGACTCCAGTGTCAATCAGAATCTTTCTCCCCGCTGGTGTGATCGAAAGCCTGGCAACCTGTGCCGTTTGTTGAGTCTCGATAACTTCTTCAAGCGTGTTGTGGACTCCAAGTTTCATAAGGTTCTCAGTGCTTGTGCGCATAGGAATGCCAAGAACTTTCTTGATGCTTTTCCTTATGAGGATGTTCAATTTATTTCTTTCGTGGAGTTGCCACCTGTGCGACATAGCTTATGTGGCTCATCAAGAATGCATGGAATAGTCTGAGGAGGTTGTGCTCTCGAAGACCACCCCGACTGTTGGAAATGCGTGAGATTAGTCGGATGACCCCTTGCGCCTTGGAAGTCAGACGGTCGATGGTGCGGCCGTTCTGTCCATTAGCCTCGATAATCATGCCCAGAACGCGTATGAAGTCCACCCTTGGAATACGATGCCGTGTGCAGCCTAATGTCGATGTCAGCCAGTGGTTGCCAGTTTTTGGGTTTGGGTCCCCGTCTCGTGGGTCGATATAAGAGAAGTTCGGACTTTGCTGGCGAGAGCTTGAGGCCCATTTCATTTAAGTAGACTTCAACACAGTCTACGGCCTCTTGAAGAGAGTTGTCCACAGAGCCCTCCGAGCCACCGACACTCCATATGGTGATGTCGTCCGCGTAGATGGCGAACTTGATGCCCTCTTGGTTTGAGAGCTTTGCAGCAAGGCCACACATTGCAATGTTAAAAAGCAATGGGGAGACGACTGAGCCCTGCGGGGTGCCGAAGGAACCGAGATCGTAGGGCTCAGACTTGAGATCCCCAAGCTGTATAGTGGCTTTTCTATTCCTGAGGAACGAGCTGGTGAACTTGTGAAAGTTGGCTCCTAAGTTGAGAGAAGAGATGGAGGCAAGTATGTGGGAGTGCGAGACATTGTCAAAGGCCTTTTCAAGATCCAGACCGAGAATAGCTCTAACGTCTTTTGTCTCCTGATCTATGATGTGATGCTTCAGCATTTTCATGACGTCCTGAGTAGATAGGTGTGGTCTAAAACCTACCATGTTGTACGGAAACAGGTTAGTCTTCTCTATGTGCTTTGATATTCGATCGTTGATGACATGCTTGGCGACCTTGCCTATACAGGACGTCAGTGAAATGGGTCGTAAGTTGCTAAAACTGGGACTCCGGCCAGGTTTAGGTATGAGAATAACCGACGCCCTTTTCCATTGCTCAGGGAAAGTCCCCGTCTCCCAAATACGATTGATTTCTTTGGTGAGGTAGGTGATAGAGTCATCGTCTAAATTGCGTAGTGTCTTGTTTGTAATGCCATCCGGGCCCGGGCTGGAGTTCCCGTTAAGATTGTTTAAGATGGTGCGGACCTCTTCTTCCTGGAAGGGCTTGTCCAACTCGAAGGCTGGTGATCCTGTGTATTGCGCGTAGCCAGAAGGAGGCCGGGTTGTGTCCAAAGGGAGGTATCTCTGTGCCAGACACTTCGTTATTTCCGTGTCCGATTTAACCTTCCTTTCTGAGTGCAGTATTCGGTCTACCAAGCGCGTCTGGTTGGATTTAGATTTGGTCTCCTGTAGCAGGTGTTTGAGGAGGTTCCATTTTCCCCCAACTTTCATCTGACCATCCACCTTTTTGCAAATCTCGTCCCAATGCTGTTTTTCCAGCGTCTGACAATAAGTTGTTATTTCTTGGTTAAGACTTGCGATGCGTTTTCGCAGTCTTCGATTCATACGGTGTGCTTTCCACCTGGCTAGGAGGGCGCTTTCAGCCTCAAGAAGATGAGCAAGCCTACTATCCATTTTATTGACCGGTAGATCAGTCTCTATCGTTTTGGTGGCCGACTTGACGTCTTCGACCAGCTGAGACAGCCACTTGTCGAAATTCGGTGAGTCATTATTCTCTTCTGCGCTCTTCGCTCTGATCTTACGGAAGAGGTCCCAATCTGTAAATTTGAAAGCTTTAGGGGGCTTTGCTTGAATTTGTAATGTTGTACTCAAAACACAATGGTCACTCCCCAAGTTTTCTCCTAAGTTTAACCATGATACCTCCCCATGGTTGTGACAAAGGTCAGGTCTGGGGTAGTATCCCTAGAGCAAGAATTTCCAGTGCGGGTAGGAAACGTGGGGTCAGTGACCAAAGTAATATTCAGATCCGATACCGCTTGCCAGAGCTCGGCTCCCTTGGCAGTGGTGCGAGGGTAGCCCCAAGCTTGATGGGGTGCGTTGAAATCTCCCGCTATAACTATGGGTGCGTCCACTTTCCTAGCGATCGTAACGGCTTTTGATAACAATGAGGTGAAGCGATGGTGCCTGCCTTTTGGAGAGCTATATATGTGGAGTATGAAAATGCTATTTTTAAGGTTGCTGCCAGGTATAATTTCTAAAAGAGAGTGTTCAATCTTGCTATTTGCCATGTGCAAATTGTGCTCAATGTAAGTGTACTTCTTGGACACAAACGTGCAGATACCGCGGCCATCTGGAGGTTTCGTGATGTGACGGGTGTAGCCTGGCAGGCTCATTGTTTCCGTAAGGGTCTCCTGTAGCATAATAACATGTGGTCGAATTGGCTGGGATTTAATATACTGCTGGAGACTGCCTTCTTTGATTGGAAGCCCCAGCAGTTCGACTGCCAAATTACAAAATTTTTAAGGTGTCCCGCCATTGTTGGGACCCTCAAAAGCTGTCTCCTGAGAGACGCTACGGGTTGCCACCTTCTGCACGATCCTGACCTTAGGTATTACTTGGGCCGGAGTAGCCTCGGCTGATTGTAAAGCTTTAACTTGGTCAGCCTCGATCTTTGTGACTCTGCTGTCCAATACCGCAATCGACTCGACCACCGCCTTGAGAGCATTTTTGATATCATTCAAGGTTTCCTTGACCTCTGTTTTGAAATCTCTGTCCTCGTTATTGGCCGGTTGTGCTAGCGCTCTCCTTTTTGTTGGTTTTGCCCCTGGATGGACGTCCATGGTACCTCATCGTGACTCGCATCCGATGTGGCCTCTGTACAGGGAACTGTGTTTGAAGGAGACGGAGACGAAACCTGCTGTGATTTCCTTAAGTCGGCTATTTCTGCCCTGAGTTGCTCGACAATGGCCTGAGGTTAGCATTTTCCCTTTGCATCTGCGCATATATATCTGAGTGTTTTAGCTCTGATGGTACCCCCCTTTACTTGTGGCTCTGGGGAGCCCTTGATCTGGATGCCCGGTCTGGTGCGTTGATTATCCTTACTGCACCACCATTGCGGACGGTTAGGCACACGGGAGTTAGAATGGCCCTTGTGATCTAGAATGTCCCTCGATATTGCCGTTACTTTACTTTGTTTTTAAATATTGTTTAATGTTCAAGGGATGGAGTACTTCTTTGTACCGATATTTCTATTGCCTTTGTTGTCTATAAATAATAAGTAGTATAAAAAAATATAACGATACAGTCTAAGGCTTTCCTGACACTTATGATGAACAAGCCAGACCATGCCATCTGGGTAAAATGGCTGGCAGAAGGGGCCTTCTGGCTTGTAAACTAAGGGGAGCCTCGCTCTGCTCTGTATGCGGTCAGCCAGGATTTCCAGCTGATTTAGAGGCTGCAGCTTCAATAAATTAGAATTCTTTTTCCTGTGTTTCTTTTTCCAGAACTAGTTCATTTCATTTCACGAGTGAATGATACAATCCAGTCATCCGGTTGCCTAGATCTTTTCGATGAAATATGAGGCAAATGTTGTGCTTTGGTGTTTGCATTATTCCTGTGGTGCCCGGGTGAGCAGACACAGATGTGGCGCGTTCTGGTTTGTTTCCGAAGTGGGTCGCATTGTCGCTCTTCTTTTAAACAGCTATTTCCCCAACTGTGCACTCTGCCCTTGTGGCGACACTGCTGCATGTAACTGCTGAGCATTGCATCAGTTACCGCACTGCGTATGGACTACTTTATCATCGCACTTATGCTGTTGCTATTCTCACACATAGAGCGCAGGCTTAGGAATAGGCCTAGGAGCCCTTATAATCCATCTCACGCCATCAGTACTTCCAAAATTGATACCTCGATGGTGCAGTGAGTAAGAATATTCAAGAAGCTTTTAGGGCCTATTATTATTCATAGTGAGAAGGATGTTGGCACGCACATATATTTTACCCGGGGGAGAATTTTTATTTGCTAACAATTGTTGGATTTACTGTTTGGTTCATGATGCACCTTTGAGTCGGAAGTTTCTCTTATGTCATCACCATCAGCTGCTGACTTCGAAAGACGGAGTTTCAATCCCTGCTGTGAGGTTCACATTTTCGTGGATTTGGTGCTTTCATTTTCAGGTGCTCTAAAGAACCCCAGGTGGCCACAATTTCCAGAGCCCTCTACTATGGTTCACCTCATATGCTTATTGTGGTTTTGCACGTAAAACCTCCGTAGCTATGAATTATCTTCAAATGCTGTCACCATTTCCAATTAGATTCCATGTAAGCTACAAGTAGCAGTGTACATCGTAAAACTTACACTAGCAGCAAAGATTACATTGGGATGTTTTATGGTGCATGCGTAATGAGCCTACGTGGTTCACCCATAGATCCGAATTTGATAGCCAATGACTGTCCTTGACGCTGCTGCCTTGCTTTGACAGTTACCTGGTATTGCTGGGCTCGAGTTCACCCAATAAACAGTTTAATATGGAGCTATTTCGCTCCTGCATCGTTTACTGTCAAAACAATGTGAAAATTTGAAGAAGGCAAAGCTAGAAGAAGTAACGATTAATATGTAACATTTTAAGTTAGAATTCTAAGAAACATTCCGAATTTAAATTAGCTTTCCAGGGTTATTCTCCATGAACATTCCTCTTGAACTATATCACAACATTTTGATCTTTCAAATGCCTCTACACAGCTTGCATTTTGTTCTCTTATTGGCATGATGCTTGACGGTTTGTGGGCATTTATTTAACCATGTTGAGCTGGCAACTGCTTCAGAGGCAAATGAGAGCTTGTCACAGAAAGGACTGCCAGTACAATATAATAAACCTACAAGACAGCCAAAAATTTCATTTTTTTTTTTTTGAACAAAATTGTTGATCTGAATCTTTCACCCATTTGAAATTCAGTGAAATTATCATTATGAAATGACGCTCGCATTTCATCTCATCATTTGAATATCAGTTGAGATGTAGTGACATGATGCGAATGAAGAAGGAAATAACAAAATAGCGGAGTATAATGTGCTGGTTTAATGTCTGCGAAGCTGGGACGAGTACTGATCAAGATAGACAAACATGCTTCAAGATAATTGGTGTGCTCTTTAGAGTCAGCTGTAGTCTAGAGATGTTTCACATGTTAGGAAAGCTTGACTGTCTACTTTAAAGGCATTTGAACAGCTGTTGCATAGTGCAGTGCGGTTGACTCGCTGATCTCGTACCTCAGGTGCAGATTTATATTTTTTAACTTTTTCCCTACTCCGAAGAAAGAACATTGTACCGAATTTGGAAGAAAATTTTTGTGAATTGGCAGAGTTTTTTTTTCTGAATAAAGCGGCACCAATGTTTCTATTCAATGGTGTTCCTCTATTTCACTTATAGTGTAAATACGATAGCTGGAAGATGGCTTCGCCACATGGCCACAGTGCTACAGTGCAAAAAGAAAAAAAGCTTGTGTCACGGCTTGATGAAGTGTGAAAAAAGATGATGCAAATAAAAGATAATTCAAACAGTGCGAAAACATGCACCCAAATAGTGGGTACTTTTCTACAGCTCTTAGGACAGTTAGTAAGCCATCTTGATATGGGAGGTCGCGAAGCTGGGCATGACTTGAGGGCAGCCGCTATGTCGCTCCGTCCATCCAAAGAATCGTCGTCATCAGAATCCTAGATGAGAACCGATCACTTCTTGTATTCGTACAAAACTAGAGAGCAGCCATAGATGAACGTCATTTTGCGTACACTTACATTTCCTCCACCTGAGAAGGCAGCCGTGTTTCGTGCGGTGGTATCAGAAGTTGCAATGCAGTAAATGCCAAGACACAAATAGCACAACATCAAGTGTGGCTATCTAGCATTAAGGAATGCAACTATGACGAGTGCAGTCGTTAATTCCAGGTGTGAAAAATTCTCAACGAGTTTAGTCATCAGTCTATTTGGCACAAGATCTCATGATGAGGGTACTCGTCAATGGGAGAGAAAGGGTTGAAATTGTAACAATCATTGTGTTTTGTGGATATTCAACCTCTCATCAGTAATATGTGCCTTCTCTTAATTATTTCCAGGAGCTTCACCTTGTCGCTGTGGAGCCGGGTTTGTTGAGGTACGTCCCTTCATTGGTACATTTTACTGTGAATGTTACTCACCTCTGGTAGTTTTTGGAGTAGCTTTCTGGGGGTCAGCATTACATCTAAGAGTACTGGTGTTCTTTGCCCATAGCATGCAGGGAACGACCACACTCCATTACAAAGCCGTTTGCTAGTTTCTACTTCCCATTTTCCTTATACACTGGAAGTTGTATGAAGCATTTCAGAGAACATTTTTAGTGTGTTTAGAAACGTGGGGTAGGAGGGTGTGTGTGAAAAGCTCATCAGTGCATTGTATGCGATTCCAAGTAACCCCTTTTGCCAGAGCCGTTGAATGATGCCACAAACAAGTGCACTTCATTAAAGTGACGCTCAATTCTGCATAGAGTTTGAGCAACATTGGCAGAGCCCCATTTGATCCAGTCCTAATCAAAATACTAACTGTATGGTTAGCGAATGTGAGTGAATCAAGTGGTGCATTTTGTTGGAAACGTACGCAGTGTTACTTTGTGAAGTTTGATTTTTTCCTTTTCTCAACAGATGCATCGAGCACTAGCACAGCAAACTAGGGTAATGCTAACATACATGACTGTATGCGGTGTCTTATTCTAAGGTGGTTTGAAGGACTGCTGGCGTCAGAAGGAGAAAAATAGAGGAATAAGTGCAGAAAGAAAAAGAAAAGACAGAGAACATAAACTAATGAGAGAAAAAGGAGCATAGACAAATAAAGGAAGATAAAAAGAAAGAGGAAGCAAGCATTGCGTTGTCTAGTCACTGAATACTGCATCACTTGGCCAAGTCATGCAAGCACAGTTGTCGAGCATATCGAAGCTAGATATGTCGGTTGACTGGAAGTACGAGCAGTGATTGCTGTGCCAAGCTTTGTGTGGCTTGTTGGGAACTGTCAGAATTTATTTTATTCAGTGAACTTTATTCAGGTTGCGTGACTTTTCGTGCTACGCATCACATTTTTGTGGCCAGCGTCTGATGAGGCGCCTTAGACTTTTGCCTTAATTGGTATGAAATGTCTAGCAATATGACACCACTGCAGTCTATAACTGCCTTTTTCATCAGTTTTGTGAAGCTGAAGCAAATCTTCAAAACCATTGCTTCCTATCCTCTGCAGGGGTCTTCAACAAAGGGCAGCGTCTCTGCCACCTCCATATGAGGCGGTGGCCACTGGCTGCGACTCTCCCATGTGCCGCGGTTCAACAACCGCTGCAGCATTTCCACTGCTCATGGCAACGACAGAGGAAGACCCACCTTCGTACGAGGAGGCACTACTTCTCATTCGTGGTGGCTCTGGACCCTCTCCTGCTACAACAAAGTGAGTGCAAGAGCAAGCGGTGTGGTAATTGAGCTTCACAGATGATTCAGTGCTAAATATTCAGGTGATGTTGTACTGTATATTGTTTATTAAGCCAGGGAAATTGTAATGCTCACGTATTGAAAAATGTGTACATCAGAACTTCTGGTGTAACAAATGGTGTACTGTACACATTTCTTTAATATGACTGCACCGTGGCACTGTGAGCTTAACTTCTATAAGTGGTATTGGCTTCCATGCAATCATGCTTGTGATGCGCTGCCAGGTAAGACACGAAGTAGAAAAACAAGAAGATACATAGGGTGATGTGCATCATCCCATGTTATTTCTCGTTTTCCTGGTCCGTGTCGTACGTTGCAATGCATCACAGGCATGAATACATACCTACTAGTGGCCGCCCTAATACATACCCTGTGGCCGCCTTATTAGCTCTGATGAAAGCGTACCAGCCAATATTTTGCCAATGGAGCATGAACTGAACATGGTAAGAATGAAAGCATAGGCATGTTACAAGCTACGTTATCGCGGACCACTTGGAAGACGAGGACAGAACTACGTAAGCACTGCAGTGCCTTGTCGTCTAGGTCAGTGGTTGTCTGCCATGGATGTGTCGGAACCCCTTTTGGACTGGTGTAAGTGATGGGGTACACCTTGCAGATGAGGGGAGGGAGGGGGTGTATAAATTAACACAACTGGAGCATGAAACAGGTGCCTTTTATTGCTACCGAAAATGTCAGATGCACCACATCACTCTATTTTGGACAGTTCATCAATGTGTGGCACAGTCATGCCTAAACAGAGTTCAAGTGCGACTTTAAGAAATGTAAACATTTGACAGAAGTCTGTCTGGTTGGGTATGAAACTGGGAGATAATATAGACTTCAACCAAAAGTTTTAAGAAACCTGACGTTTCGGAACCGAGGAAGGAACCAAGTCGGTTCCGAAACGTTGGGTTTCTCCAAAACTTTTGGTTGGAGTCCATATCATCTCCCCAACTTTAAGAAAAGCGGGTGATGGTTTTGCAGATCTTGGGGAAGGCTTCGCAGGCCCCCATTGGAGAACCGCTGGTCTAAATGGTGTGCAATAGCGTGGCAATGACAAGAGACCAACTAGCCCAAACAAGTCACCTCCCATGTTGAAGAAGTGGGCGTGTAAACACAGACACAAACGGACACAGGAGAGGAGCTGAGGCAATGCAAACAACAGTGCAAACACAGGACAACGGGACATAGACGGACCAAACACTGACTCTGACAACCCTTGGTCTGTCTCTGTTCCAGTTGTCCTTAGGTGCTGTTTCTCATTTCCTATAAATGTGTACGAGGCAGCCCAAGTAAGCACTCCAGTACAATATAAACACTCACCAACTGCTCAGATAACTAGGATAACATGAAAAAGGACTCAGAGCACCAGAAATAAAGCTTAGAATGACTATAGAGCTGAGCTAGCTACTATCTATTAGGGTATTCATGGTAAAAGAACAGACTTAGATACACTAACACAAGAGAGTAGCCAACATATACGTGCGCAGGGTTCCCCTTCAGGGGGGCAAAGGTTCATGTGATGCCCCCACCCGCCCTTCAAGTCAATGCATGGGACAGACTTTGCATCCCTCCTTTTTATGGGACTATGACCGGTGGCCGCTACCCCTGCCCCCTTTTTTAAGCTTTAAGCTCGCTTAGGTGTTGCCATTGGGAAATGGAAAAAAAATGGCAGCATATCCACGGGTGAATTATGGAGAGTGGGGCGAAGCATCCGTTCGTCCATTCGCTCTTGCTTTCGTCCATCCATGCGTCCGTCAGTGTGACCGTCCATCCGCTCGTCCGTGAGTGCGTCTGATTGTGCATGCGCACGTCCATCTGTCCCTGCGTTCGTCCATGTATCTTCCCCTGCGTCTGTCTATGCGTCCATCTGTCTGTGCAGCCATCCGTGCGTCCGTGTATGTATCTGTCTGTGTGTCCGTTCGTCCAATCTAGTCAACACTCCAAGTACCACCATTTCGCATTTTTTCATCATATATTCCGCATATAGAAGCACCGCCATCCAGCGGACATTCCAAGGACCAAACGAGAGGTGGCATACGCACACTTCCTTACGACTTGCGCTTCGTGTCTACTTCCCGCCTTTAACCACCTCGAGGTCATGGTATATACTAGTTCTCTGTATTCATGGCACTGCGGTCCTAACGCTCGCTAAACCTTTCTAAAACCAAGGAGGTTATGCCCAGCGTGCATAACGTAGCAGCCCTTTCATGTCAGATAGTGCTCAATGTACATGCCCATGGGTGCTAATGAGGAATGAGAGAAAGGAGAATTCGGCTTTTAGTTCACGCGCACGCTGCGAATTTTTTATTGTTCAACAATACACAGGAGAAATCTCCCACCGGCACCACCTTGCCGGTCAAAGACGTAAGACACGTTACGTACTGTGACGAGGGACGAATGGGTGCCGGTTCAAGGAGCTTCGCCCCTAAATAAAAGAAGAGTCTGCACGAAAAAGCAGCTTGCCACTCGTGGGAACTGAGCCCACAACATCAGCATCAGGCCCACAGTGCACTGCCACCATGCTACAGTCAGAACTTTTTTCTCGTCCACTTCCTTGGGTATTTACATCTGTGTTACCGTGGGAGTATTACACGGGAGCCTTGTCACTGTGAACAAGTCTACTGTGTGGGGAGCCGAAATGTCTTTTTAATTTTTGTGTATTTTACTTTGGTCGGCGTTTTTATTATTTTGCATTATGTTTGTCCCCGACCAGACGGGATTCCATCCAACCGTTGACTATAGTATTACGTTGCGCTGCTTGTAGCCATTGCAGTGAGAGTGGAACATTCGTTTCACCTGATGGCATTGCATAGTATCAAAACTTTTGAAGGCACGACAGATTCTGTTATCTTACTACAATACCTCCTGGGAGTCAGGAAATGTTCCAGATAAGTGGAAGTGCAGCCGCATAATCGCACTGCTTAAACCGGGGAAGTGCCCTAATGAGCTTTCATCTTACCGGCCGATCGCCTTAAGCAGCTGCGTTGGCAAAGTCATGGAAAGGATGGTATTGTCGAGATTAGAGTGGTTCTTAAAGAGCAATAATTGCTTTCCTGCTTTCATGAATGGCTTTAGGAGAGGCTGATCAGCCATTGACGGGGTCATCAACTTGGTCTCCGATGTTGAACAGGAAAGATGTCGAGGCAGATTAGTGGTTGCTGTTTTTCTTGACATTAAAGGCGCCTATGACAATGTCTTACATTATGCCACCCTTGATGCGCTTGAGTATCTAGAAATCGGCGGAGGACTGTATGTGTAGATTGTGAGCTACCTTAGCGATTGTACCGTGTATATGTCAACAAGCGATGGAGATACTGACCATTATAACATTCACCGTGGTGTTCCCCAAGGGAGTGTTCTCAGTCCTACACTTTTTAACATCACCTTGATTGGACTTGCTACTGAACTTCCTGACACGGTGAAGGTGAGCACATATGCGGACGACATCTGCATTTGGGCTTCTGGAGCTACGCGCCCCCAACTGCGTGCTCGACTGGAACGTGCAATTACCATCACAGCAAGGTACCTACGTCGTCGGGGTCTCGCACTGTCAACTGAAAAATGTACAGCGCTTGCATTTACACGAAAACAAATGACAAGATACCCACTAACTGTGAATGGAACAGAAATTCGTGCTGTTGCGCAACACAAGTTCCTGGGTGTTATCCTCGACCGGAACCTATTGCGGTCAAAACACGTCACAGCCTTGAAGTCAAAGCTCAAGAGTTTTGTCCACGTTCTTCGGGTCATTGCCGGAGCAAGATGGGGCCCTTCGGAGGCAGCTCTTCTGCAACTGTACCAATCTTTATTCGTAGGGTACTTACCATAATCACTCGAATCTAATGCGCACCTTTTTTCCGGTTAAGCGAGTTCATAAATCGCATGCGCGTTAGAATCGAGTACGAACAAAAAAAATTACGATCAATCTATTGCCATCGGCAAATCCAAAATGGCCGCCCCCTACGTGTGTCGGCATGGCGCGTCGGCCATTTCTGCCTATGTGTTTCCCATGTGCGGCACTTCGTACGTGTGCTGAGGAGTTCGTCATCTAGTAGTGCATTAGCATCGACGGTGTGGAAGGGCCGACTCCAAAAACTTGAGTGCATCATGATGCCGCTTTTAAAAGAAAAGTCATCGCGTGTGCAGAAACGGACGGAAATCGGGCCGCATCGCGGTCCTTCGGAGTTCCCGAAACGTGCGTGCGGGACCGGCGGAAACAAAAGCAGAAGATTGTCGACAGCAAAGCTTCATGCAAAGGCTTCAGTGGACCACAGCAGGGTCGGTTTCCGCAAATTAAAGAGCTGCTCGGCGAGTATGTGCTTGAGCAGCGCGTGGCACAGCGGCCCGTGACGACAGAACTGCTCCAAGTGCGGGCTATGCAATTAGTCTTAGAAAACGGTCTATTGCGGAGCCAGTTTAAAGCGAGCAGGTGCTGGCTAACTAACTTTATGAAGAGGGAAGGCTTTTCCCTCCGAAGGGGAACATGCATATGGGAAAAGTTTTGCGGAGGAGTACGATGAAAAGCTTCACAGTTTTCAGAGGTTCGTCCTAAACTTGCGGCGCAACAACGGCTACCTGCTTGAGCAAATTGGGAATGCCGATCAGACGCCTCTTTACTTCGACATGCCTGGCACCACAACCGTCGAGAAGAAGGGGGCGAAGCAAGTTCGCGTGCTGACATCGGTACACGGTAAAACTACAGTGACGGCAATGCTCTGTTACACGTCAGATGGGCACAAGCTTCGCCCGTACCTCATATTTAAATAGAAGACGCTCCCGAAAGGAGTCGTTTTTTCGAGTGATATGATCGTGCGGGCCAGCGAGAAAAATGGGGCGCGTTGCAATCGATGTCTTACGTTTTTTTTTTTTTTTTCGCGGTGGAAATCGGGTGCGCGTTACAATCGAGGGCGCGGTAGAATCGAGTAAATACGGTACGATATAGCATGCCCGTGCTTT